CCGGCTACGGGAGCCAGCTGGGCCATGCGGAGACAGAAACGATGAGAAAAGAAGAAGAGGAAGATGAAGGAGACGACTGATCAGCGCCATCCAGAGGTAAGAACGCAAGTATGAGTGAGGAACGAAATGGAGGTAGTGTCTTAAAACGGTTAATACTTCCTCATGTTTGCTTTTGTAAAAATTTGAAATATAAATTAAATATTTGAAGTGTTTGGAAAGTAGCTGCTAACAAACCACATTCTGACTACCCAACTACCTACCTGTGATCAGTGCTTTATGATAAAAACCTGAAAGGCAAGGGGCTGCTGTTATGTGAAAAATAAAAATCCATTTTTAAAAAAATCTGTGAAAAAACAGCTATGTGTGATCAGTAAAAAAAAAAGAAAAAAAAGAAACGCATGTGAAATGTAAGGAGGTGATGTTAATATTAGCGCTCTGTGGAAGATGAATACGAGGCGTTAACGACGCTGAACCTCACACTGGGCCTTCTTTGTCTTTATCCTCACTTTCTCCACATCTCACTCTTTTTATCGTCCCCCTGTTTCTCTGTACCTCATAGATCACACACATAGTGGCAACTCATCACACACAGATGCACGCACACACAAATATCTGTGTGTGCGTGTGTGTACGCGCGAAGACACAGATGAGACAAATGAAAGCTGTCCTGTTTTCTTCTGCCCAGCCTCTGCCAACTTCATTTGCAAATGAAAAGTTTTGCGAGGAGCGTCCTTTTGCTTCTGGGGCGGCATGGCAGCACACTGTGTGTTTGGGAGCGGGGGGATGAGGAGAGACGAGGGTTTGACAGAGGGTGTGTGTATGTGTGTGGCATGAGCCCAGATGAAGCAGCCCTCGCCTGAGGCTCGCTGTCCGCCCGCGGTAGCAGCAAGCCTGTTCCTTCTTCCCTGGCCCGCCGCGACCATTTGTTCCATTAACCAATCTCCTGGAGCCTCTGGTGCAAACGCACACGCTCATACACACGCATGCACTCACACACACACACACATCCACAGGCATACATACTTCAACAACTGCTTGCACAGCTCATGCCACACATGGCCCTCCATCCTCCGCTCCATCCCTCCCTCCCTCTTCTGCTCTCCTCCAGACGCAAGCACCATCTTTCTCCGTGGAGGCCATATGGCCCAGTGAAGCCTGTGGATCTACAGACACATCTGCGTATATGTTGCTACTCTTCTTAAAGGGCTGCACAGTGAGCTGCGCTCGTACACCTCTACAGCACTCGCGCACCGAGGCCTGACAAACACACTCCGCTGTCACGATGCGTGGTTAAGCAAGCGTTGGTGTTGTGCTGGTCCGTCGTACATGTGCGCGAGAGTCTATGTGCGTGACCTAAGTGTGTGCATGCGTAGTGATAATTGGTAAAACAGCCTGCCAACAGCTGTGGGGTGAGAAAAGGTTGCGTGGTGTTTAGTACGGAAAGCAGAGGGGAGGAGGAGAAGAGAGGAGAGGAGAAAAGTTGGAGCGGGAAAGGAAAGTAAAGTGAAAAGAGATAAGAAGAAGAGAAGGGGGAGGTAAGAGGAGACGGAGGGCAGAAGAGCCACAGCTGAAAAAATAATTAATATGAATAGAAAACTGGAGAAGTTACAGTTTAAAGTCACATTTCCCAACAAACATTACTCTGTTAGAAAAAGGTTATTTCATATATAGAGAGATCGACAGATATGTTTTCCTTTTTCTTGTTAAAGCTGCATTATAAGAGAAATTTCCAACTAAAATGGACTAAAGTGGATTAAAGTTTCAGGGCCAGCTGTACATGTACTCATGCAGCGTTTTCAGATTTTAATAATATCTTTGCTTTAAAAGAAATGCTCGTTTTTATTTATGTATTGATTTTAAATAATTTGGAATAACTAAGAAATGCATGATTTGCACTGAGAGTTTAACGTTTCTATTAACTAATTCATCTGCACTGCAAAATGTTCACTTTTGTCACAGTTAGAGCAAAATCTAAAACCATATTAATCCGAATAAAACATCTTTTTTCTTCCGTTTATGCTTGTATTAAGTTGTTTTCACATAATACAAACTCACAAACATCACCTGCCCACTGACAAATGATCGGCTGTCATGAGTTAATAAAGGCTGATTTGTTGTTTGTATTTTTCGGACACAAAAGCATCTGAAAATGATCAAATACCTTAGTAAAAATGTTAAATAAAATATTCTTGAAAACGAAAAAAAAAAAAAATTTAAACCTAAAATCCCAAACTACATTAAACACTAAACTAAATCAAAATGTTTTTAAAAAAGGCTGATAAAAATGATAATAATCGCAGAGCCTTTAAATTCAACATTTGCATCTATGCATCTTCTCTAACTCGCTGCTGTCCTGCTCCATCTCTCCACCCTCCGCTCCATTCCTTCATTTCCAAGCAGAAAAAAGGAAAAAGAAGAAAGAAAAAAAAAGCAACAACACAGAAATAGTAAAATAAATAATTAAATGGTGCAGCAAAACATTGTGTGCTAAAACCCCTGTGTAGTTTGGCAATCAGCTTGCCCATGTAAAAATAAATCAAGCTGATTTTCCAAATGTTTTGTGCGTGGTGCGCTGTTGCCGCTCTTCGCAGCACAGATTGCAGGCCGATGGAGAGGCTGTGGGGAGGGGCGGGGCGCTGGATATTGAACCCACTTACACCAGCTTGTTAACACGTACACCTTAACCCCCGAGCGGCACGGCGGGGCGCCCACCGAACACTCGGGGCCTGTGGGGACCAGCGAACATATACCCGACATATAGACGTGCAAGCACACCGAAGATCACGACAACAAGTACAAGAAAAGAACCGATGACGTACTGGCTTAAACGCGCACAAACAAAACTGCATGCACACACACTCGGAAGCCACATCTCAAAGTTCGCGCCTGTCGCTAAACTTCCCAAACTCCAACAAATATCATTCTCTTATACTCTTATGATATATATTCTATAATGTTTATCTCAAAAAGAAGCACATATAGAGATAAAAAACAAGTTGTAGCAGCATTGTGTATCATAAATGTTAATCACACCTCTCTACCTCATCTCTATGTTGCACCTTTTTTAAAAAAAAAAAAAAAAAAGGCAGCTAAATGCCAAAACTACTCGTCAAACCCGTATAAACGCACTCTCAAACAAACACACCTTCTACCGGCTGAAAAATAAAAACGCGGTCAGCCGGCTTAACAGTCGCTCCTGAAGTGACCTCTTGTAGAACTGAACTTGAGAGATTTTTAAATATCAGGAGGATTCATCAACAAACTAAGTGTCAAAGCAGAAAATAAAACTCAGTAAATGCCAAGAGTGATTATCGTGGTTCAGTTGGGAGAAGAGAGAAGTTAGGTGCCAACTTCCCAGCCAATCCACTTTTGGCAGCCACATTCCTGCTCTGCTAAACCTCCTGAGAACATGCAATAGCAACCAACACACACACGCACACACACATACACAAAATACCGCAGCAACATATGCACAGAAACGTACAGAATATTCATACTTCACACTCCTTGTCAACTTAAATAGCTTTTCTTTCTCTAAACCACACAAAGAGTCACACAGAACCAGGAGACAGCTGTGACTTGGTAAACTTTGTTTTTTTGGCAGCGTGTGACTATCGACAGGTTAACACCGGTGGGAGGTAGACAATATGTAGTGTCATGGATGGAGCAGGAGAAAAGGGTGAGCGTGATTGCAAGTGTGTGTGTGTTAAGAGGAAAAGTGGGGGGCACTGGGGTAGAGATCCTGCAGAGTGGGGCAACAACACCCACACACCCTCTCCCACATTGGCAGAGCCAAGCTGTATGCCAGGCGCCCCGTGGAGACACACGCCAACTGGGCTCCGCACTTAAGGAGGAAGAGACCCCCGCATCATGCATACACATGTACAGATACTGTAGCATAAGCCAAAGATGGAGGCACTTTTAGCTGCAGCTTTCATAAGTAAAGAAACCCAACAAATCTTCATATTTAGGACGTTTGAGTAATTTTTATGCATTTTCACCCAAAATACAAATACTCAACTATTACACTATCAGATTTATTTTCTCTTAACTGACTCCTCAGTTCATCAGCTCACTCTGATCAGCTTCGTTCTTTTCTTAAAATGCACACTGCCATGTTTTTCTTTGACTTGAAGACTATTTATGGTTTCTAAATTCCTCCAAATCTCACTTTACTGTTCACTGCAGTGTAATTAAGAGTTTATTAGAGTGTGACAAGCGCACGGGAGCATCGTGTGTCAGCTCCCGCTGACAAGAGATCAACTTACCGCTGCTTATTATAGGTTTTAGTCACTGCCGAGACGCACAACTTCTCATGAATTACCCACTTGTTAACTTCATAACTCATCTGAGCCACAGAGGTGTGAAGAAGCACAGCTGTAAACGAGCAATTTGATAAACGAGTACCTAACGTCCTCGTTTTAAGACTTTTTTCCCTTTAACATGTGTCCATTATCTGTGTTGAGCTGTGAGAGACTTGCGTGTGAACGGGGCGAACAGTCGCAACCGCGTAGTTATACCGCTATAACTACTTTACTTTCCTCCTGTCTGTTATGTAAGAGAAAAGTTTCTGATCAGAAACTCTTGGTGTGTGCAGCCTCAGTACAGACAGCAGGAGAATAAAGCGCTGACACAAAAAACACTATGTCAACAAAAAAATTAAAACAATTCTTATATAAAAATAAACATCAGATGTGCAGAAGATTCACTGGTGAGGGGACAGAATGTGAAGAAAACTGTGCTTCTTTTTTTAAAAGGCTCGCTGCCATCGCTGCAGAAATGTAAAGAAATGAACATTTAAACACTCCGAGAGCAGGAGTGATTTCTATGTAATGTCACTGATGTTTACGGGACTCTTTTAATCAGATAAAATTCTTGACGGGGAGTTTACAAGACCAATAAACAAATTAAACAACCCCAAAAAGATGTCAGAAGATGTTTTGCCCTCTGCTGCACGGACAGTATATGTAGCTGTGTAGTTATGTGTGTTATGCGCCCACCTGTCCTTCATGCGCTGGTGCATGCGACCGTGCTGGACACACTGTTCTTCCATATCCGAGCAGCGAGCTCTCAGATTCTTCACCGTTTCCTCCAAGTGTTGTTTCTCCAATGCCAGCTGTTCCAGCTCACTTCTGCACACACACACACACACACACACCTGCTATATTCACACTACCAACGTACGAAGCATTTTACAACCAACAAACTGAATTCATCATCCACTTTTTTTTTCTTTAATATACGACTTTTTAGTAAAGTATATCTGCGTAGTCCCAGAGAATGAAACAGCAGAGATAGCAGCAGAGTCTTTGTCAGTGTGTGCACACATCTTACGAGAACGTATGTGTCATCAAATAAATGGCAGCGAGGTAGCTCAGTGGTTAGCATTGTTGCCTCACAACAGAGCTCACACACCTGAGTACTTTTCTCTGGTGTCCAAAAACAGGCTAGGTTCATGATGCCTATGTTGATCCAGGAAATAGAAGTCTCAAAAGGCAAAACAACAAATAAATAGTGACTTCATTTACTCTTCGGCTAATTTGGCAAACATGCCTGTTTTAAGATCACCATTTTCCACTCTGCCTACCTAACATCAACAGTAGAGGTAACAGCAGGAAATGCAGGGATAAAAATAGAGGTAACGGGCTGCATGTCCAGACGTAGTAAGTGTCACTTTCACAACATTACATTGGCCAATCTGCAGCAGCACACTCGATAAAAGGTGCAGAGTCAGCAGGACTACCAAAAACAGATGATCATTTTTCTTTTCCATCTTCCTGCAACTGTCTCACTGTAACCTCACTTAGCCCGAGTGAGGCAGTCCAGCAGGACTTTAACCGCTACGTTGGGCTTAGACTCCAGGAACTCAAACAGCCCGAGGCACCAAACACACCACCACGCTGCTGCTAAACTACATAACGCACACATCCAGAAGATGTACACAATGAGCCTTCAGGCCAGCGTGTCTGCATGACTCTGTACCTATAAAAACTCTATACGTGTACCTGGTACTCACGTCCTTCCAAACAAACAAAATACACAGTGTACTTTGGTGTGTGTGTTGTGTGCATGTGTCCTGTGGTTGGTGAGGCCAGTGCGGTCTGGCAGGGCCAGATTGGAGGCTGTCATGTGACTAATGTGCAGCACAGCTCCAACAGCTGACAGGACACTGAGCCCAGGGTCACTGTCATACACACACACCCAGAAGACAATCACACACACAGACACACACGCATTCAGCCCAGATGGAGAGCTGGGCAGGCCTGCTGTGACTACTGTAGCATCAGGTTAACAAGAAAACAGGTCAGACTGGAAAGCAGTATGTAGTATGTTGACGTGCTCTGTTCAAACAGCCTGGATAGATGATGCTTTGTGAAATGATGACATGGATGTCCAGCAGATAGAGGGAATAAACAACAGAGTGGCAGAGCAAACAACTGTTTCACGTAGAGAGAAAAAAGCCACTGAGCTAGGAAGCAAACGGCAAATTAAAAAAAAAAATCAAGGCATAACTGAGCGAATAAATCTTCAAACACAGAGGAAACACTCACCTGCTTTTTTCAGCCAGCTCTTCCAGTTTGGTCCCCAGGTTGCAGCACTCCTCCTTCAGCCTCCCAATGAGGGAATTCTGGGAACTCAGGAGACCATCCAACTCTCCAACTGTAATCAATGATGGGAAAGCTGGCAGTCACTTTAGGTTTAACCACCACAGGTGACGTTCCTCCAGAACAGGTGAAAGTCCTCACCTACCTACCCTTCTCTTGAAAAATTAAATGTTATTTATTTTGGATGCAAACATAGTTTAATGCCATCAGTGATTCTGTAGCTGACTGGCTTTAATGATGATATCAACACGTGCCAGCTAAACACAGAGAAGAATCAGACACCTTTTTCTGAATGATAAATTACACATAGGTTATAGCAATACAGATGTGTATTCAGGTCCTTTCAAAATAAATCTCCAATCTGACCAAAACAAAACTGAGCCTAACTAGACCATTTCCAATCTAATACTTAAACACAACTGAATAAGTTGCTCTGACAGTGTAGCAGCTGTTGTTTACCTAACAGCGGTTACACTCCCTTTAATTAACTGCTGCTATATGTAAAAAGGACAATCTCAGTAACAAGGACATGATGGTTACATTTTTAAGCCGTGGAGCCAAATCAAAAAAATTGACAGCATAATAAATGTTTTATGCGTATGCAGGTTTTAAACACAAGGAACAGCGAGAGGCTTAATTTGAAGATTGTATCTGTCAGTTTCACCTCTGAGAACATAAAATACTAAAGGTCAAAAAAAAGATTTGGGCGACTATTTTTCACAGGTGAGGACGATATCTTAATGTCGTAATCATTAAGCTATCATCCAAGTATGTTTTTACTATAATGCCACAGCTCATAAAACTGAGCATGAGGAGAACATGAGGAGAGTAAAGCATCCATCCTTCAGTGGAATAAATTCAAGTACACCTGCATGCCCGCCTCAATATTATTGATATAATTAACAGACAGAGATCTGATTCCCAATCTGGAGAAATTATTGAAAGACATTTACAGAACCCTATAAAAGGCCTCCATATTTTGGAAAACCCTGAGATGCCCCTTTTATTCTAATTAGCAGTTTTGCATGCTCATGTCATTAAAAGTACAAAGGAAAACATAAAGAAGATTAAAATTATAATTAAATAAGTAAAAAAAAATGTGGGTCAGGGCCAGGGCTGTTCGATATAACGATATATATCGGATGACGATATAAAAACATCTATCGTTTCATTTTATGCTATCGTTTGTTTCGTGGTGTCGCAAAATAAACTGTTTACGGCAATATGTTCTGATGGTCACTGTAGTGGCTATATTAATTTCTTCTTTCTCTCTTTCTCTTATATGCGTTTTATGCATTGTCATTAGCAACAACGACGGTAACACAATCCCGTGTCCGCTTGTTTATGTTTCACATAAACCTTTCACAATAAAGCTCCTGTTGAGACTTTTCAAAATAAACTGAATCACGTGAAAGAGCAGATTATTTACGGATGAGAAGTAAAAAAGAGCCGCCAGGTGCTAAAAAATAAACCTTAGACTCAAACGTTAGAACAGGCTTTTCCCCGCAGCACGCCGTGTAATAAATACTCACAAAGAAAACGGCGGACTTTACAACTTATGTCTAAAAATGTATCGTTTCATGCATCGGTTAAAACACTCGACTTCAGGTACATGACGCGCAGCTGGAAACACTTCCCGCAACTTGAGCTGCCCGAGATTCACAGAATTTACAGAAAATGTTACATTTTTGCGATTTATATCGTTATCGGACGATAGAATTCTTATATCGGGATATGAGATTTTGTTCATATCGCACAGCCCTAGTCAGGGCCAATAATATCAACAAAAAAAGATTCGAAGTGAGCTGTACTAAAGGACGCTGCACTAGAGGATGGTCACTGTGACTTGTAAACTGGAGTCATCATGTGAGATCTCATCATGTTTTAGAAAGAAAAATCAATGTTTAAATGATGTGTCTATATGTGCTACTTGGTTCCTGTGCAGAATAAAAATTACACCGCGACTGACTAAATAAAATACAATAAACGAAACATATGTTGTTATGAAAAGTTAGTTAAAAGACATTTCCCAACTTCTGTGGGCACATAAAAAACCCCAAGTGGCCTCACGTCAGAGGATAGTGTCTACCTTATGGACAGCACAGAACAATGAAACTAAAGTCACATATAGATACATATGTCTCTTTGAATCTGCAAAAAATGCTTTAGTCAACAATCCTATTAAAATAAAAACTGTTCAATCGACACAAATAAATGTACAGGAAAAAAAGCAGCCATGCACAGAAGAGAGAATTTAAATATAAAGTGAGAAGGGTAAAACAAGGTGGAGAAAAAGAGCGGATAGTTGTTTGAAAGCGCTTTCTTTCTCCTTTCCACCCTTCCTGCCACCTCCTCATCCGCTCATGGGGGCCTCTTTCTGAACAATCCAACACGGGGCTTTCATCGTTCCTTTGAAATGGTCCACGTTCAGCTCTCCAGCATATGTCTGCTCTTTTAAAATAACAATGGCTGCCGGTTGGATTGAGGGAATGATCCACCTGCTCCGGCATTCTGTTACAGTCGACCAAAAACCAAAAAACACCAAGGACTCGCAGTCTTTGAAAAGTAACTCAGACTTTTTTCCTTTTCATACAGCAAATATTGTGGAGAAAATAAAGATCTCTGCAGACAGAAACTGGACTCTCCCCTTTAGACATCTTTGCTCTCTCCAAGCTACAGATTAGCTATTAAAACGGAAAGTTATACAAGTCTTGATTGGGAGAAATTTAAAGGGTAATGCTTAGGATGATGAGCACCTCATCCATTGACCGTGACTCCAAAGGAACCTCTAACCTATTTTATTCCACTGTCCACAGCCGCCTTCTTCAAATCACTACCACAGACAATGTAAGTCGAGCAGAAATTGGATGCTACTGAGCATTAAACTATTAAACTAAACTACACAAACTCACAGCCGTGCACACACACATACACTCTACAAAGTTTGGTCAGTGCTGGAAAAGTTGTATGAAGAATGCTAATTAGCTGAACAGGCTTTGAATGCGTCTGGCCATGCGTAGGCCAAAAAGAACCCTGGGACACAGAAACACAGCAGAACTGGCACTGGAAACAAACAGAGGAAAAATGAGGGAGGGAGGGATGGAGGGAAGAAGCGTGGCAGGGAGGGAGGGACAGAGAGAAACAAATATCTGATATCATCTAGAGGCTGCTCTGTACACATTTACTCAAAAAAGAAACATGAAAAAAAAATTCAGAAAAAAGAAAAAAAGGTGGGAGGGAGCGGAGAAAAAGTGAGAGAGGGGGGGAACGGATGGATGGAAGGACAAACGGATGGACAGAGAGGCGGGATTTGGAGAGCAAGAAAGCTAATTATCCAGCTCGTCTGTTGAGTTGCACGGGGAGAGGAAGTGATGCGAGCTACTAAAGGACGTCCACCCCTCTATCCCCTCCCCATCCACAGTTTCCTGCTGTGCTCTGATGTCAGCTCTCTTTAGACAACATGTGTGCTGTCGACACGCGCCAGCAAAAAAACTCTTTGTTTACCCCCCCACCTACACCGCCACCACCCCTCCCTCCCTCTATACCCTCCATCTTTGTTCTGCGTACCAGCAGGCTCCCGGGTTGTTGAAGGGAACCACAGGTAAATAAAAAGATAGGGGAGGGGAGGGAGGGGAGGGAAAGTGGCTGAGGGTGGGTGGTGGGTTATGGGGGGGTGGGATATCCAGATGGTGCAACAGATGTGCTAGCAGCAGCAGCTCTGCTGTGCAGACAGACAGGGAGCTCTGAGCTGGGTCTCCCTGCTCTGCTCCCATCACCTTCCCTCTGCTCTGCCCCTCTTCTCTCTATTCTCCTCTTAAGGCTTCTGTTTGGCTCTTTCTGCTCTCTTCTGCACTTCTGAGGTCACTTCAGCCATGTTTTGTACAGTTCAGATGAATTGCTCTCCTCTCTGTGCCGTCATGGCGGGGATGAGGGGGCACAGAAAGAAGAAAGACACCCTTCAACTGGATGATGCAAGTTCAAGACCTTGTTTGAACAAAGATCCGCCATGCTGAATCGCCCTTGAGGAGGAGAGTGAAAATCATCCAGCTCAATGGATGTGAATGTGTAGCTGACCCTGGTCATCTCTGCCGTTTTGCCTCTTGTTGTTCTGGATATTTGACTCTAATTGCTCTGTCCCATTCAGTCCTGCTGCGTTCTGTAGTCTTGTTTGTCTCGACCGTACACCGACCTCTCCTCTGTGTTAGAACTGACGTGCCTGTGTACTGCGGGGTACTGCAGTAAACCTAGCTGCGATGCAAATCGGAGAACAGACGGCTGCGTAGCCATGTACAGTTTTCACAAGTGTGTGCAGGCCTTCGCTGAAAACTTTTTAAACGATGAACCTGCTCTATCAGCATCCACAAACTCGGATTTCTTTATTCACATGTTGTACATATAACATTTAAAGATTCATTAGATCCTGACACTGTCTTTTCTTTTCGGTCTCCCTACTCTGAAGCATAAAACAGAATAAGAAACATTACAAGATTCCTTCTGCTAATATTTTTTTTTAATGTTTTAAAAATTATAAATACAAATTGCATTAAAAAAACTATTGTAAAACAGTTTGTTGTAAGCTTTATAATGTTCAATGGTTTTTACGTTACAATATAAATTGCTTTAAGAAGCTTTATCATGCTTTGCTCGTCCAAGTTTTCCAGAAAGCATTTAAACTGGCATCGAGCTGTGGTGCAGTCTGTAAGTATTACGACAGCATGACTCTGAACGACAGGTTCTGTGGTGACTAAAATGCCGATGGGGAAGAAAGGAGGGGCTTTTTCTTTTGAAGAACTGACCTGTCCTGATGTGAGCCAAAATGGCTGACTAAGTCAGAGAGGTGAAAAGAGGACATTGTGACCTACGCCACAAGTCAAAAGCACGAAGACAAACCCGTTGTCACTGCTGTGGATTGAAGCACTGACCTCTCTGCAGGTGTTCGGCTTCTGCTTGCTGCAGCATCACAGTTAGCTCTCGCTCCCTTTCCCGAGCTGAAAGAGTCACAGATGCCATTTCCTCTTCGTGAGCCCGATCTGCACCCTCTCTGTCCTGTCTGAGGAGAAAAAACAAGAAGTTAAAGAAAAAAAGAAGAAGAATCAGTGAAAGAAAATGTGTTTTCACTATTTCTACACACTTTCTAGTTTCTGGCACATCATATAAAAGTGCACTGCAAAAAATACACGCACAGCGGCCCATTTTTAGAACCCTAAAGACTAGATGACAGTGTTCTGATTCCTCCATAGCTGCTGTGTACACATGCACAGCATCGCATGTGAAAAGGAAAATAATGTGAAAAGTCTCCACAGCCACTCGCTGACATTCTGTGGCATCTTACTCATCACACTCTGCGGGTGATGGTGCATGAAAAAGGTTTCACTCTGAAGCATTTCAAGCACAATCTTTGGTTTTAGGTAGGAATTTGTGTTTTGTGGCTAAAAACTGCAGAAATAATGGGTCTAATGTTTTACTCCTGCAACATAATGCAGAAGACAATTTGTACACTTAGATCAAGTTCAAGTCTGTGCATTAACAGACATGTCAATCAGTGCATTTAAGTGGCTTCTGGTTACTAAGGAGATTAGTTTGTTGACACACCGAGAAACAAATGTCTTGCGTGCAATCTGCTCTGGAAGGAGTACGTTAAATAACTGCACTCAAACTGAGACGTGGAAACTAGGCGTTAAGTTAAATGTCAGATCATCTTCATTACTGTTGATGTTTCAGACTTCCCACGCGTCCAGTAACAAATGCACAAAGGCTTACGATGTAATCGGGGTCATTTATCAAGTGAATCCCAGCAACCTGACAAGAATCCACCAGGTCGTATCTGCAGCCGTTTCTATAAAAAGAAAACGTTATGCGTCTGTGTCTATGTGTGTGTGTGTGTGTGTGAATGATGTCAGACAGGCTTTTTGCTAAAACCAAGGTGAGAGAGGGAGCAGGAGGAGAGCACATACTGTACAACATGAGAAAGAAAGGAAGGGCAGAAAGGACGATGACAGAAAAGACTTGGAGGGGGTCGAAGGGTAAATGTGTCAGGCCACTGTCAGCTTAGCGACCCCTGAGTGATACAGCAGCTGTCTCATTCACACAACACTCGAATAAACTGCCATCCCGCGCATTTTGATACAAGGTAAATCACTGTGATATATGCTACACTAATGCTGAGGACACACAACAGTGAGTCAGCTGATCTGTCATCTCTGTAAGTACGTGAAGGAGTCAAATAACTTTAAACTGCATTCAGATTTGTGTCAGTATCAGAATAGAATAGAACAGGTACGATTCAAGCTGAGGTGCTTCTGGCTTTGAACAGCGGCACATTTTGTTCCTGTCTGAACCAAACTTTCTATCTCAACTAAGTCCAAACGTACCCAAACAACAGAGAGACAGACAAAGAAGGAAAGAAAAGAAAAACTACAAAGAGCGGAAAAAAACGAACAAATAAACAGAACTCTTCCTGAAGTCCAAAGGCGCTAATGAAGAGAGAATTCTCCAGTTTAAGTGAAAACTTTTCTCCCCTACAGCGCTTGGCCTGCATCTCTAAAGTGACCGCGTCTGTCTGTTCCTTCGTGTGTGTGTGTGTTCTCCTGCTGTCCTGCTGTCTGGGGTGTGAAAGCGGGTGGCGGGTGTGCAGGGGACACAAGGAGACTGTGTGTGTCTGTACGCGTATGAGTGTGTGTGTGAGTGAATGAACCCCCGCTGGGCTTGAACAGCAGCCTGAGCCACCAAAGCGCACACCAGGGCTCAGCGGGAGATGGCGGGCAGGCGTTGCCAGCCATTTGGTCCTGCAAGAGGTTCCAGGGGGCCGTGTGTATTTGTGTATTTCTATGAGTGTGCGTTTGTGTGCGATTGGGATGGGGGGTGGTGGTGGAGGGGGCTCACACCAGACCTGTTTACCCACCAATTAGCATCAGACAGATCGCCAGAAAGTTCCAGCAGTCAGCAATAGAGTGGTGGTGAGGAAGAGGAGGGTGATAAAAACTGAGGAGAGGAAATCAAAAGACAGAGAGCTTCACATTTGGCATCTGCTTGGTCGTGCTGATTTACAGAACCGAACCTCAGAAGTACGACCTAGTTAAGGACAGAGAATTGAACAAACGGACTGGAAGCTTTCGTTCCTGGGTGAAGAAACCCCAAAGAAGTGCGCTGAGTTTAGGTTTCGGTTCGATAAGTTGGGTACGAGCACTTGTATCTCTGTGACAAGAGCCTGAATGCCTCACCAAAGATCAAACTAGAGCTGGCAGATCAAACTTTTGCGGTTGTTTCTCCCCTGCGCCATTTTGCACCTCTAATCCAGTGCAACATGTTTACTTGCAAAATGCTGTCACAAAATGGCTGCTGTTGAGCACTATCAAATTAAAGCATAAAAAAGAGAAAGCGAAGGCGAGGTATCAGCGAAAAGCCAAGCCCCGGAGCAAGCATAAGGAGTGACGGGTAGAGCAGAGGCTGAATATGTGGGGCTGGAGCTGTAGAATTCTCCTTGGGCATTAATCTGCCTTCCAGTTAATTGGTGAATGGGCTCTGGGATGCTGCCTGTGGCAGGAACTCTTGTTTGGGCCTAGGAGGCAATAGACTGACTGTTCAGTTAGCAGATAGCTGGGCCTGTTTGTATATGCCTGGCCTGATGCACAGTAGGACAGCTTGATAAGTATGGCGAGAGCTGCATGGGCCAGGGGCCTAAGGTAGGCTGGAATGGCTCTGGGGCTGCGTCCAGGTACAGTGGCTGCTGGGTAAGTGGGAGGTGGCAGAGGCGGTGGCTGGCTGACTAGCTGGCTGGAGTGGTGAGGAAGAAGAGGGAGCCCAGTCCACACTGCCTGCTTAAGTGGGCACTATTCAAGCTGTTGCCCATTAGATGTGGGGTGCCAGGGCCTGACCAAGCGCGGAGTTTGCAGCACCCCATGGTGCAGCCGGCATCCCACGCCAGAACCACCAAATGCCGTGGTTTATCACAGAACGAGCACAAATTGGAGTCAGACGGTGGACTTGGAGGAATTGGAGACATTCGCCAACGCCAGACACAACTGACCGCTGTTCTGACTAAAGTAAAAACAGAATCAACTCTCCACTATATAACTCACATACATATACATGCATATTTAAAGCATAAAAATACGAACACACACACACACACACAGATAATGGGGAAAACAATCATTTAGTTTATATTTTGCTGTAATTTCAAATCCTTAAAAAGCAGTCACAAGACTGATGAAGGAAAAACTGGAGCTACTTATTCAACGCACTGCGACGTAAAGAAAGTGTAAAATATTGACGTGTATCGTATATTAATTATCTACATAAAAACAAGCGATAAGCTAAAAAGAACAATTCCTCAAATGAATGAATATTCAGATTTATGCTCTGCAATAGTTATGTGGTGCAAAATAACAGGTGTGAAATTAACATACAGGTGAACAGACTGCGAACTGAGCCTATAGCAAAAAACATGTGAAGACGCAGGCTTTGTTTGCAACAAAAAGGACTGAATGTTGCAGGTACTGATGATCCCTGCAAAGAATTGAAGAATCAAGACAAAGACAAATAATAGCATTTCTACTGCGCAGGTAAAATACCTACGAGAGCCCAGAACCAGAAGATGCTATCAATTATGGAATTAGCGGTTCAATGTAACATTTTAATTGCAGAATTACAGATTTACGTAATTCACATGTAACTAGGATGTCATTATAGAATAAACAATAAAACACACTGATTTCTGAATTAGATTTTTAAGCACCTATAACATTAATAAAGGAAAATGTTGGCACTCCCTGCCACTGATTCATCGAGTCTCTTTAACTCTTCTGGGTTCCTCCAATTATCATCTCTTTATGATGCAATCTCTCACAGGTCCTCAAAAGGCTTAACTGAGGTGGTCCTAACACCTTTTTTTCTAATTTACAGCCTGTACAGTGACCCTTGGATAGGGAGCACTGCCATCTTTGAAGAGACCTCCCTCACCAGAATAGAAATGTTACATTTAGGAGATAGTTTCTTTCATTTTAAGGCCACAAATGAAGTCAAATCACCCTAGCAAAACACAGCATACCAGATCTAGGTCAGGTTTTTCCCTTTATTTTGCCTCTTATATGAACATAGCTATAAAAAACCCACAGTTAATTTCCACCCCATTTATCGAGTCAGTAAGATTTTACTGAAATAAACTCATAGTATACTATAAAATGACAACTGTTAATTATTTGCTCTCCAACCGCTCAAAACGGTGACACTCGTGATGATTCACTCTGGTGGAGGAATTCCAGTAGATACACGGTTATTTATGATAGACTGCATCAATCAGACTATATTAATATTCAACAGTTTGATACGCAAGACTACAAAGATGATTTCTGCTTATGTGCGAGTGCGATGTTTATGTGTGCGACAGAGAGACGGTGAGCGAGCGGCCTCGTGTAGGCCCGTCTAACCGGTAACTGCCAACAATCGATGAGCGCGATACAGAGAAAATAATGTGACATATTGAACATTTGCAGCGCTGCGTATCGGTGATGTCGCACACAATAAACATCTGAATTGTTCCGTGTGGCAGACCACGCAGAGTGTCACACGATTTCCTGTCACACGCACCTCAATGTGTTTTAGCACATTTTTATTAAACCTCTGGGTGATGCAAGTCAATCACTCTGCTCCCACATTTTTCCTTGCAGCACCCCTCCCTTCATCTTGCTGTCCGACTCTGTGAAGCAAGCACATCCAACACAGAGGCGGCCTGATGCAGCCTCACTGCTTCTTTACTCTGCACCCAGCCTTATATTTATATATATATATATACACACACACACACACACATATATATACACATACATGTACATACACATACATATATATAGATATCCGTCCATCTATCTGTCCAGAGCATTCTCATCTCTGCTCCGATCCTTTTTTTTTCTCCCGTTCCCATCTCTCCCTCCTCCTTCCTCTTTTCCCTCCCACCCTTTTTTTCCTGTAACTAAACTGGCTGTGTCTCTCTCCATCTGCTGGTTCTTCCTTCAGCGGCCCTGCACCTGTTCACACCTCCTCTCCTGTTGG